AACCTCATATTGTCCAAATAATGGCCTCCCACTGGAGCTTTAAAAGGGAGGTTTTGTCTTTTTTTTATTGCATTAATCAAAACCTGTTATCACTTTTGAGAGCGAAACTTCCCACGGGCCAACAATATGGCATTTATTGTGAAAGCAGATGATTATCTAAAGAGCTTCTGGAATGTCTCCCAGGGTGATTTTATCAGCAATCTAGTCATCAATAACTCATTTTGCCTATTTTTAGTTCAAGGAAAATTTCATAAATTTTATGTGAGCTTTTATTTATGCGACTTCTGATCAGTGAGCTCATATGGCAGTTACTTTTGCTTCCTGGAGGATGAGCTGGTTTTAATTCAGTAAAGTAAATGGAAGCATCCAGATGTTCAGTGTGCATGAAATGAAAGGTTTACATAATTTTTTGCAATATTAATTTTCCCAAGATGGCCTGTACTTCAGTTAAGTTGGGACTCAAGCTAGTGTCTTAAAAACTTTGCTTTGGATAGTATAGAACATATCAATAGACCAAATTGATATTTAATCTTTAAAGTGTTAGTTATAATTTTGAAATCCCCCAAATTTAACATTGTTACATTGTTACATTATGTTACATTGAGTCAAGCTTCAGACTTTATTCAGTTTTTGACATCTTTTCATCAGTGTCCTTTTCGTCCTATGATCACATTCACATCCTAACACCACATTGTCATGTCTCCTTGCTTTCTCTGCTCTGTGACAATTTCTCAGTCTTTCCTTATTTTTCACAATCTTGGAAGTTTTGAGGAGTACTGCTCAAGTACTTTGTAGAATGTCTCTTTATTTGGGCTTTTTTGATGACCTTCTCATGAATGGGGTTATGGGTTTCTGAAAAGAATATCACAAAGGCGAGGTGTCCTGTGAGGCGCCCATGGCATCTATACGCCATCTCTGGTGATGCGTCATCACCTGATTCAGGTGGTGTCAGATTTCTCCATTGTAAAGCTGTTACTTTTCTTTCCATTCCTTTATTCTTTGAAGGCAAGTCATTGAGCCCAGGGCACTCTCAAAGGAGGGCAGTTAGACTCCACCTCATGCCAAAATTATGGCAAATACATGGAGTCAAACAAAAAAAATTTCACCTCATAATCTGTTGATGTGCTATTATAAAATTTGAATGGAAAATTTATACCAACTAATAAAAAATAGGCCTTCATAAGAAGTCATGCCAAATAAATTCAGGCTAAATCAGAAGCTAGAGAATAAAGTGGTTTACAATTCAGCTGTAGCTGTAATATCTCAGATGGGAATATTTAGGCATGTGCATTAGGCTTCCAGCCCAATCAAATGTTATCTGTGGTACATGTCAAGGTCATTGTCAAGAGCAATTCACAGGGTTACATGCAGAGCAGATGTCAGTGATTAAATGTTTGCCCTACCACACAGATGGGCAACTTAGACAAAATTATGTCTGGTAATAACCTTTGGAAAGACCCCAATTTGGATTTTTCTAGGTAGGTAGTCAAAGGGCAAAAGCTTTCCTTGAGCCCACAGGGTATTGATTGCCTTCAGCTCAAAATAGTCCACATTCCAAATGGCATATTTTGGGGAGGCTTATTCTGAACCCCTTCACTGCCAGCACATAAACTTATTTCAGGCAGCAGTCATGTGGATGTAAGATAATTTGTTTCTTCTTTGAACGATATACTATTTTCTGTGGATTTGCTGCCAATGATTTTTGACTGTTTTCATATATCCTTCATGTCCCCCAACCCCAATTTTAAAATAAGTATAGAAGTGACAACTAACAGCAAAATTCTCAAACTCACATCCTCAAAACCACTTCAGTTTTCCTCACCTTTCTCAACGTGGTGAAGCCTTAATGATGAAGAGAGTGAAATAACTCCATCGTGAATGTTAGAGAGATAACAGAAAGGTCTAAGGTCAGAAGTAACAGAAAGGTCTAAGGTCATTTTATTAAGTTGTGCCCTCTCTAGTTGACAATCATGTGGACAGTGACTGCAATGGGATATGTGGGGGGGGACTTGATAATATGGGTGAATTTTGTAAACACAATGTTGCTCATGTGAAACCTTCATAAGATTGCATATCAATGATACTTTAATAAAAATAAAAAGCATGTAAAAAAAACAGTGTCATCATGCAAAATGCTGGCAGGGGTTTAAAGCAGCTCTCATTTTCTATTCTGATTAACTTAAACCAGCATCTGTGTGGGGATTGAAGAGGACACTATAGCGTTGGAGGTAATGGGGGGTCAGGGCAAGAAAGACAGATGACAGAGGAAGACGTGGATTTTGAAGGTAGAACAAAGTGCTATCTGTGAAATCAGAAAAATGTTTCTCAAGTTTGGAATGTTGAGTGGAATGGATTTGCTAAAATCTGAGCAAGTACACTCTACCAGCTTTACAGTTAACACTTGGAAATCACCATGTGTCCGTGATTTACTTATAGTACAGAAATTGTTTTTTTTGGATGAGTGGTCCTGAAATTCAGCCTGAGAAAACTAGAATCTACTAATATACAAAAATTGATTGCACATATTGTGAAGGATATATGGCCTGCAGATCGCCATATGTGGAGTTATGAAGTTCAGTTGTCTTGCTAGTGGAAGCAGAACATGGCAGGAGAGCTCTGCACTGCCCACCACTTCTGGTGGGTGGCATGGCAGGTATCGATTGGTTATTTAAGTTAGACGACCATCAGATTATAGATGTAGACAATAGAAAAGAAAATTCAAATAGGTAGAACCTAGAACGAACCTTATAATAAGGGAAAGGCAAATCAATTGCCAACAAAATCTTCAGTTTTTACAAGGATGGTGTTAAGTTGCCTGCAAACCTTCCATATCCAGAAGATGTGCTGAGCTAATTTATAATGCATGCCAGGAGAATATCCAAACAGTTAATATAATCTAGGAATTTATATGGTTACCCTTTGCCAAGAAACCAAACTGCTCCGAAAGCTAGCGGTTTAAAAGACCAACCATTTATTTAGCTCATGTTTATATGGGTTTAAATCTGGGCTGGGTTCATTTACATGGGGGCTGATCTGTGATCACCTAGCTCCCTCAGGTGTTCCGCCTCAGTCTGGAGCCAGCTACGGGGACGTTAGGAAGGCAGGTGGCCCAGGGAGGCCTCAGCTGGGATGGCCTGTCCCTGTTGCATGTGGCTTCTCGACCTCTAGCAGGCTAGCATGGGTTTACTCACAGGACAGCAGATAGTCTAATAAGTTGAAGCGTGCAAAATCTCTCTGCAGTCCAGACCCAGAATTCACACATCCTCACTTTTGCTACATCAGAAAAGGCAAACAGTGAAGATAAAATGGGATCTTTTATTATTCTTGGTCTCAAAAATACCTGCCTGTGTAAATTAATAATGAAACATCACGAGGTCATAGGTGAGTCTGGCATATGGATCTAAGTGAGTGCCGGCAGCGCCCCGAGAGAGAGAGCTGGGAGGAATGCTGCGCTAAGGTACCGTGAACTGCAGGCTTCCTTCCAGCACCTCCTGCCCTGCCTGCAGGACGAGGCGCAGCCTGTGGTGCGGTCCACGCGGCTCACGGTTTAGCTCCCTGCCCGCTGCTGTGGCCTCAGCGCAACCTGTGCTTTACTCGTAGAAATAATCTCTAAACAGAACAAACAGTTCAGTACCTTTACTCACGCTGATTAGTTTGCCAAGCATGTCCCCCACTTGCCAGCCTCTGTCACAAACGGCTTTCCTCTGTTTTAAAAGCTACTTTCAAAGGACTTACCCTTTTAAAACAAACCTCACACAGCACCGCCAGGCAACATCAGTCTTTCCCTCCCAAATCACATGAGGCAGTGAAGGTTCCTGACCTTAAAGCAAAGGAGGAATATTCCTAAAATCGCTTGAAAATTGCTTACGGAAGGCTGTTGGGAAATTTTTCTCACTGAGATAAGAAATCAGAGAAAGAGAGGTGACATTAGGAAAGGAAGACACTCAATTTTGTTTGGAGAGAGCCTGTTACACTTTCAAATGAAGAGGGCCAGCACTGGGCAATGACAGAATGTTAACAGTTGGCCAGTCATTACACTGAGTTGATAATAGAAATATGCTGTAGATAAGAACTTCAGGGCTAGAAGTAAGAGAAATGCAGGATGTACAAGGTTAAACCCGTAGGTATTGTCTATAAGCTCAAGAGAAAGAAAATAAGGAGGAGGCAGGCAAGGAGAGACTAATAAAAGCCAAAAACCATCTTGTCACAGAAAACGTTTCCAAGAAAGGTAGTGGTGTGAATACTGGACAGAGATTTAGAGGAGCGGCCGAGAGGAAACCTTCAGCAGGAATATGAGACGTAAATGGTCCCACCTGCATGGGTCCTTTTCTTTGGCAGCCCACAGTTCCCACACTCTATACCAATTCTCACCAATCCATGTGGTTATAAGTAACACTTACTCCACCTCTCAGTTCACCCCTAAAAGTGTGACCCTGGCCACAGTTCAGAAACAAGTACACACACAACCAGTTGAGCTGGTGGGATTCCTCCTCGTGTTGCTGCAGGAACGCTCAGAAATGGGACTTCTCTGATCTCTGGGGTATGAAAGTCGCAAAGGCGTTGTTAATTGTGATGTCAGGGGTCATCTTGATAGGTAAACATTTAACCTTGCTGGACCCTTCAGCTTTGCAGTTTTTCTGTTTCTTGTTTTTTAAGGAGCATATAGCTAGGGTCACTTGTAACTGAAGTGCATACAGTTTCTAGGGAAATAGAGCTTCTCTGTCCAGGGCAAGATGTTTCTGTCACTTGCAACTAAAGAAGTTCTAAGTAAAACAGATCATTGTTGTACTTCAAGAGAAGAGTTTTGACAGAAAGGTAAGAATGAAATTCACACACTTCTTAAAAGAATGAATGAGGGCGGCAAAAATGAAAGCAGTAATATATGGCGCTCCTCGAAGACTGGACAGTAAGTAGGAAAACTGTAAGGAGGAAGCCGACAAAAAACATGAAAATAAATGAGATTGAAGGTTCAGGAAGGAAGGGGAGATCAATGCACTTACATTTATATTGTCTCAGAGTGATTTTCTGGAGGCAGCAACCGCTGATACAAAGCACTGGAACCCTGTGCAGTGACAGTCACCTCTCTCAATTTGATTGATGGAAACAATTTCACAAGTAAATGTGAACAGAAAACAAAAAAGGCAATTCAGGAAGAGGGAAAAGATGAGAGAGATACTTTATAATGTCAAACTGTGATAACTAGTCCATAATTTAAAAAGCAGTGTATATGTTTTGAATCTCTAATAGTTATTTTTTAATGCCAAGAACCTTATTTAATATTTCATGGTTTTCATTCCAGAACAATTCTATAAGCATATGTTTAATATAAAATTTTAACAGTTTTTAGAGACTGTGATAAGAAAGACTGGAAACAACTGTGATAAGAAAGACTGGAAACTATGAATATATACACCATACTATATCAGTATCTCTATCAAATATAATTATATTTAAAAGAGTAGAGTTAACAAAATTCCTACATTAACTGTAAGGATGAAAAGATCAAAGGTTCTGGACATAAGCTTCTCCGTGAAACCTTTTCTGTTCTCCCCACCCTTATCTTGCATGAAATTCTTTCATTAGCTTTTATTCTGAATGTATAGGAAGCTATGTAATCGGTTTGCTCAAGTACTTTCTCAACAGGTGCCTAAAATAAAGATAGCTTTGTTTTTGTTCCTATTTCTGTGTGTGTGTTTGTGTGTGTGTGTGTGTTTTAAAAATATCAGCACAATAACTGAACACAGCAGGTATTCAAATATTCTCTTGTATGAATAAAAGAATGAAAAAATAGTGATTGAATATGGAAAATTAAGTCATGTAATCATTTCCTTCATTCTCTTTTTCCTGGTTTTAGAAAATGTCAATTTCTGTTCTTTCTAAGGAATCATGTATGGTTTGTTCAGAGTGTACTAAAGCAAAACTAGACATTTTCCATTGTAAGTAATACAGATTTTCACTTTGCAAAATTCCTCCATTTAACAATTCATATTGACTTGTTCTCTAATGTCTACAATTCTACTGTGTGTCTGTGTGTGCACATCGGTATGTGCACAGTATTTGTTTTATATCAGCCATATCCACCTCTTACCACCAACATCCTGAATTTATCTTTGATTCCCATACTTCTATTTTGAATGAGGAAAGTTCCAGATATATATTCACTCTAGGACTGCATGAATTAGAGCACCTAAGATGCCAGCTCCCAAGCCACTTGGACAGGGCAGGGGCTGGATGGAATGCACACTGGGATGGGTGGATCCTGGATCCAGTGGCAGCCAGTTCCAGGAATCTGCTTTGTCATAAATCCTCTCACCGAATAGTCGCTTATCAATCTATCATTATTCTTTTCAGGAAACTTACAGATTAAGGTTTACATATTAAAAAACACTTCAAGGCATATTTTAAGATAAGTCATCATATTTCAGACAAATTTCCAATGTATTTGTATTCTTAAAAAACATGTAACTTCTTAATTGCAAAAAATATATACTCTAGAAAAAAAGTTACTTGGATTATATTGCACAACATGAAGAAGAATTTACATAACATACTTTGAAAAGCGGGACTTTCAACACATGTAACCATATAAACACAAAACCAAAATGAATTGGATGTCTAATATGACAAACATACGTCTGTCAAAACTGACTCAGTGTTTAATGTGCACTTTCATTTCTGCTTGTTTGCTGAGTGGCAGAATAACCCTGATACTAAAGTTTAACAGGAACATTATATGAAAAAAATAATTACTAATCAATTTACTTTGTGAACGACAACTCAAATATCCTCAATAAAGTTGCATCAAGCCAAATATAAAATGAATGCTACCTCATAACCAAGCAGAACTTTTCCTAGGAATGAGAGACTGATTCAACATTAGAAAATTAACCAATGTAATTCACCACATTAATAGAATAAAAAAGGAAAATCATATGATTGTCTCACTGGAGGCAGTAAAAACAGTAACCATTCAGGGAAAAATAATTCTCAACAAACTAGAGACTTAACCTAATTATTTCTTAAATGGGAACAGAAGGGATGTTCTCAATCTGATAAAATGTATTTACAAAATTCTTGTAATATATGTAATCGGTTTGCTCAAGTACTTTCTCAACAGGTGCCTAAAATAAAGATAGCTTTGTTTTTGTTCCTATTTCTGTGTGTGTGTTTATGGTGTTATGGTGAAATACTGAATGTTTTGTCCCTAAGATTGTTTTTTTAAGCTGTTTGAAATTTTTAATTGGCAGAAATCATAAAATAACAATAAATCTTTTATGTTACAGATTTTTATGATTAAAAAATAAATCAATGACTATGGGATACGGCTCTGCAGGTAAGTAGTCTGTGTGCCTTTTTCTCATGCAGTAGTGCTGCTGCCGACAGTTACAGCTAGTATGAGTTCCCCCAAGTGCTGGTGGGCGCTTCCTTCAAGGCGAGGCAGCCTCACTAAATGGCAGCTGGGGACCTTCTTGGTTCCTACTAGAGACCAGAGCCCCCTGGCTGGTTTGGTGGAAAATTTTTCAGGCTTGCTTGACTTGACAAATAATGAGGCCCATGTCTTCCACCTGGAGGTGGATAATAGAGCAAAACAACCAATGTAGCAAAAGTAAACCTTCAAATCTCCAACCTTAGGGCACAGATCCAACCATAGAATTCAGTCCCTCTGGTTTGACTTTCTAAGATGTTTGACAAGCCCAGCAACGATGTTACCATAGCTCTGAAGAATCTTCTATAAAGAAGGTCAGGCCATGGTTCTTATCTGTGATGGATGTGGCTCAAGAGACCCCCAAAACTCCCTAGCTCCATCCACATATGCACTATGGCCAAACGCCAATGTTATTTTTTGCTAACAAAATGAACCTTGGGGAGTTGGTGACATCTGAAAGAAATGGCCTGGCTGTTGTGCTTAGAGAACATCAAAATGAAGCACATATTCGTACTGGTGATGGTGCTGAAGGAGGATCACAAGGTGGAGCTGGGCTTCACACGCCTTGTGGGGAGAGAGATCTGGAGACTGCATTTGGAAACTTAAGGAATCTTTATTTTGAGGCATACATGTTTAGCCAAACTGAATACTTTTAATGTTTAAAGAAATTTCTTCAAAGAGAGGATTAAAGATGGCAGCATGATAGGTGAGACAGAGGCCTCTTCCTAAAACCACATACAATACAAAAATGTAATTATACAACTAATCCTGAAAGAGCAACAGGAAAGAGGGCTACACTGGACTGCATATGCCTGGAGAAAAGAGCAAACCTCATGGAACAGGATAACATACCAAAGCCGTGACCCAGTGGGACCCAAGCCCTTCCCCCACCCCAGCTCACCGGTGGGAGGAAGAGAAATGGAGCAGGGAGGGAGTGGAGGCCTGGGACTGCTAAACACCCAGCCCTGGAGATCTGCTCTGGGAGCATAAACCTACATTGTGTGGTGCTCTGGTGATTAGTGGGGTTGGAAAGCTAAGACAGGCAGAATACCTGGAGAGACTGAGATTCCAGCTGCTTGTGGAAAATGGATTGATATCTGGCTGCTCGGGGACAAAAGAAAGGTGGCAGTCTGAGACAATTCCTAAAAGTGAGAGGGTGGCTGAAGGAGCAAGGATTGCACAGAGCTTATTGATCAGGAGAATGGACAGGTACACAAAATTTTCGGGGCACACTCTGCCCAGCAGGTTGGGAACTTTAGAATCTTCAGGTGCCCCATCCCCCTGGCTGGCTACACAGCTCCAAGGTCCCCCACCATGACACACAGCCTGCTGTGCCTTCCTCCCAGCCAGCCTGCACCTGGCTCACAAACTGGCAGCCCCTGCTCTGGTGTCATGCCAGCCAGAGGGAAGCACCACCTACAGAAGTTACAATCACAAAGCACAGAGGCTTACACCTGTGTGTTCAGCCTAGTGGTTCTAGCAGTGGAGACAGGCAGAGCAGCCGAGAAGCAGGAAACAACTCTTTCCTCCCCCCAGGCACCAACACCGCTCCCCTGCGACCCCCAACATAGCTCCAAGGGCTGAGCAGCTCCAGAGAATAGAGCTTCTGGGCATTAGAGGGCACCACATACAAATATGAAATGTCAAAAGAACCTGGTTAAACCAAAATCATACAAACACCAGAAAAAGAGTCAAATGAAACTGATCTCATCAATCTTTCTGAAAGCGATTTCAAAATAAAAATCATAAACATGCTCATGGAGGTACAGAAAAATATTCAAGAACTCAGCAATGATTTCAGGACAGAGATCCAATCATTACGGAACACAATATCAGAAATGAAACATACAATGGAAGGTTTTAAAAGCAGATTAGATATGGTGGAGGAGACGACAAATGAAACAGAAATTAGAGAAGAGGAATACAAAGAAGCTGAGACACAGAGAGAAAAAAGGATGCCTAAGAATGAAAGAATATTGAGAGAACTGTGTGACCAATCCAAATGAGACAATATTCGTATTATGGGGGTACCAGAAGAAGAAAAGAGAGAGAAAGGGATAGAAAGTGTCTTCGAGGAGGTAATTGCTGAAAACTTCCCCAATCTGGGGAAGGAGATAGTCTCTCAGGCCATGGAGATCCACAGATCTCCCAACACAGGGGAACCAAGGAAGACAACACCAAAACATATAATAATTAAAATGGCAAAGATCAAGGATAAAGAGAGACTATTAAAAGCAACCAGAAAGAGAAATAAGATCACATACAAAAGAAAGCCCATCAGGCTAACATCACACTTCTCAGCAGAAACCTTACAGGCCAGAAGGGAGTGTCATGATGTACTTAATGCAATGAACCAGAAGGGCCTTGAACTAAGAATACTTTATCCAGCAAGATTATCATTTAAATTTGAAAGAGGGATTAAATAATTTCCAGATAAGCAAAAGCTGAGAGAATTTACCTCCCACAAACTGTCTCTACAGTGTATTTTGAAGGAACTGCTCTAGATGGAAGTGTTCCTAAGGTTTAATAGCTATCACCAGAAGTAATAAAACCACAGTAAAAGAAGTAGAACAGTTAATTACTAAGCAAATGCAAAATTAAATCAACTACCTCCAAAGTCAATCAAGGGATAGACAAAGAGTACAGAATATGATACCT